GGGAGGTGCCCCCTTGAATTCTGTGTCCTAGATCCTCACTAGCTTGACTTCAGTCCTGGCTTTGTGCTGGGCTGGTGTATTCACAAAGGGATAGGAGAAAAGGAGGTTCAAAAAAGAGTAGGAGGGAACAAACAAATGTCTTTTTTTTTTTTCAAATAATCAAAGAAAGGCTGGGGCTGGAGTGATGGCTCAGCGATTAAAAGCACTGGTTGCTCTTGCAGAGGACCCAGATTTGGTTCCCAGCACCATAGACCAAAGGATTCCACCCAAGTCTAACAGTGGGACAATGAGCTTACTGGGGTTGCTTACAGGAGCATGGGTGAAGGGTTACAGGAGCATAGGTGACTCAAAGACAGCTGCATCATCATAAAGCACACTCCATCATGGGGTGATGATTCATGAAAGCTACATCTTTAGAGCTCCCTGCCCAACTTGTAGACTGCTCCACGGAAGAGTTTCCTCTCCCAGGCAACAGTTCATTACTTATATAACTTTGGGGAGGGGCCTTGTGACTCTTGTACCTTTCTGAGCTTCCTGTGCCATCTAAGCTTCATTAGTTTCCTGAGTCTCAGGAACCTCCCCCCCCCACCCTCCAGGAGGAGACAATTCCTCAACCGGTGGACACCCAAGGTCAATGGCAAAGTGAAACACAATGACCACAGAGCAAGTGTTCTCATACAAGCCATCTCTTGAGAACCCACAACCCTGGACCAGCTGGCCAAAGGTCATCTACAGAGTGATGAACAGCAGGGAAAATGTATTTCATACACTGCCCACACCTCTCCTTAGGGTTCCCAGGGGGGAGGGGACGTGATGGGGAAGAAATCGTGGCCCCTCTGCTCTTGCTGCCTTCTCAGACTTGACATCTTTTGCTTGGTGTCACGAGCCTCACCCCAGACAAGATGACTCAGACCCTAAATTGCCAGGGCTGGAAGCACCCTCAAGGACAGCTAACTCTGTGCTGTTCGGGTGGCAGTGGCCAGCTCCCACCCGAACACATGACTTTTGATCTCTTGACATGTGCTGGTCCAAACTGGCATGGACTGTAGGCATAAAATACACACTAGAGTTCTGAGGACATAACTGGACAAAATAATGCAGAATAACCTAATTTTTTTTGAGACTTAGTGTAGCCCAGGATATCATTGAACTTTAGATCTTCCTGCCTCGGCTTCCCAAGAGCTTGAATTGCAGGCATATGCCACCATATCTGGTTTTGTATTTTTATTTATTATTTTAAAAATTATACTTATTTGTTGTGTGTGTATATATGTGTGTGTGGTCACACGTGTGTGCACAGCACATGTGTGGAGGTAAGAGGACAACTTGCAGGAGTCAATTCTGTTCTATTATGTGGGACCTGGGGATTGAACTTAAGTTATCAGGCTTAGTGGCAAACACTTTTTTTGTTTTTGTTTTTAAGAAAATGCTAATTTAATAATCAACAATTTAATAAAGTTATTATGTTTGTAATCATCTAAAACCAAACATTATTTTTGCATGCAGGTGCATAAAAAGAAATACAACTTTGCAGATAATTTTATAATAATATTTTAGCTCTTGGGCTTTATTGTGCCAACACAAAGTAATTTAATTAAAAGTATATTTTCTTAGTGTAAAATACTTGCTGAACTATCAAAATAGGATTGTAAAACATTTTTTAACTTAAAAATTTATTGAGAATTTCATACATGCATATAAGGTGTTTTGAACAAATCCACATTCACTCCCTCCCCTCCAAAACCTTCCAGACCCCAATCTTATCCAAAGGAATATTGACAACTGATTACTGCTAGATGAGGAACAGCTGACCCTCCTAAAACAAAGACCTCTAGATAGGCTGACTAGATTCAGCAGATGGACAAGTAGTGGGTAATGGCTGGGATTCCGACAACACAGCAGACAGTAGCAGGGATATCAGAGTATAAGGGCTCTAGTGGGGGCAGGGAGGCTGTGGGAGGGTGCTATCTGGGAAGTGGGTGTAAAAATAAATAATTAATTAGTTAAAAAAATACTTGCTGAACTATCAAAATAGGATTGTAAAACTTTTTTAACTTAAAAATTTATTAAGAATTTCATACATGCATATAAGGTATTTTGATCAAATCCACCCCTACTCCCTCTCCTCTAACTCCTCCCATATCTCCCCATCACTTTTTCTTGACAACTTCATGTACTCTTTCTCTCTCTTTCTTTCTTTCTTTCTTTCTTTCTTTCTTTCTTTCTTTCTTTTTCTTTCTTTTTGTCTTTTTTGAGACAGGGTCTCCTTGTAGCCACAGCTGTCCTGGAACTCACTATGTAGACCAGGCTGGCCTTGAACTCGCAAAGATCCACCTGCCTCTGCCTTCCAAGTACTGGGCTTAAAGGTGTGCGCCACCATGCCTGGCCTTTCTTCTTCTTCTTCTTCTTCTTCTTCTTCTTCTTCTTCTTCTTCTTCTTCTTCTTCTTCTTCTTCTTCTTCTTCTTCTTCTTCTTCTTTTTTAAATGGGGCTTTTGTGGCAAACATTTTTACCCACTGAGCCATTTCACTAGCCCTTGGCTTCATACTTTGAAAAATATGTATACATGGATTATGTGTTGAGATGATTGTATTTGGGATCTATTGTGTTAAATATATAACAATTCTTTTTTTTCTTTTTTCTTTTTCCCTTCCTTACTTTTTTTCCCCCTCTTGAGTTGAGGTCTCACTTTGTAGCCTAGGTTGGTTTCAAACTTACATAGGCCTGATTCTGCAGTAATCCTCCTACCTCAGTCTCCCAAGTGCTGGGATTATGGGTATGATTCACTATACCCTCTTCCCCTGGATCTTTCCACTTTTTAAAATGTGACTACTGAGGCTGGAGCGATGGCTCAGTGGTTAAGAGCACCAGCTGCTCTTACAGTGAACCCAGGTTTGAAACCTAGCACCTACATGGAAACTAACAATCATCCATAACTCCACTTCCAGAGTAATCTGACGCCCTCTTCTGACCTCTGTGGGCATTGCATGATACCGGTACACATATACATACAGGCAATATACTCATACACATAAAATAAAAAGAATAAAATATTTTTTAAAAATGTGACTGCTGTAAATGGAAAAGTTACAGATGTGCCTTGATTGTGGGCTGGTTATGGTTCTGTTGTACAATGGTCTAGTTCAAATTTCTCCTCTAACAGATGAGACACTTTCAGAGAGAAGCCCTTTTCCAGCCCCACCATTCTCTAAACATCACCCTCCATCCCACCTCTTGATGAGCCCTGGGAGTGGAGGGTTGTGCATGGAGATCTGTGACCTGCAGGCCTCAAGGGAAATGTTTAAGACTGAAGGTACTGGCTATGGTTTGGAGAATGAAAAAAAAAGGTAGAGACATGGTCTCCAGAGTCAAATTGTTTGGGTGCTGGGGATTGAGTCTAGGGCTCTACACACACTAAATACTGAAGAGTCACTCTTTCTTTTATATTATTTGTTGTGTGTGTGTGTGTGTGTGCATGTGTGTCTGTGTGTCTGTGTGTATGATGTGTGTGCGCATGATGTGTGTGCGCCTGCACACAACATGCCCATTGTGTGGAGGTTAGAGGACAACTCTGTGAAGTCAGTTCTACCTTAATTACAAATGCTTTCTTGAACAGTCGCAGGTCATCCCATGGGACAAGTGGTGGATATCCAGGACCAAGCAGCAAGTTTAGCCCATGCTCTCTGACTCCAGCAGGGTGAGCACATCGCCCTCATGTGCAGGGTCTTTCATGTTGCCGACGATGGAGCTGCTGGTGTCACCCATAAATTCCACACACACTTGCATGCACTGTCCCTGTGAGCTGGTCCTGCCCAGCCCTTGAGTGACTCTGGCCAGCTTGATGAACTATATATGACTTGTGTCCAAGATGGTGGCCATCTGGCAGAGAGACTCCCCGACCCCCTTGTTTTTTAGAATGTGGCTTGCCATGTAGCCCTGACTATGCAGTACAGGCTGGTGGCAAATCTTTCTGCTCCAGTCTCCTGAGTGCTGAGATTACAGGCATGTGCCACTCAGCAAGTCACATTTTGTTTTTATTTTTTGAGACATGGTCTCCTGTAGCCCAGGTGGGCCTTGAACTGGCTGTGTAGTAGAGGCTGGCCTAGAACTCTTGATCTTCTTGCCTCCACCTCCCAAGTGCTAGGATTATAGGGGTGTGCCACCATGCCCAGCTTGTCACATTTTAAAGCATTTAAAGGTGTGGGGAGAAGGGAAAAGTTTGGGTTGCTCTAGACCTTCTCCATCATCCTAAAAATGCAGACCTCCCAAGCAATGAAGTAAAACCAGGCCCAGCACTCACGTGAATGGACAACCATTTCAGGACTGTTTAACAAGCAAACAGGCAAGTTTCAGTAGGATTGGCTTGATAATGGAAGGGGAGTGGGCAGCCAGGGCAGGTGGAATCAGACACTGAAAGCAAATTCCTTCATTTCACAATTCTATCTGGCGTCCCCATTCCTATCGGCCCGCTTTGTCTAACTTTTGGACAGGTGGTTTGGATGGCGGAGATACGATCTGTCAGCCCAGGGCAGCACTAAACCTGGTTATCTGACCAGTTCTGACAAGCAGCCTTACTGAACTCACTCTGGCCCCTTTGAGGAACTTTTCCTTGTTTCTTTACCTCCTTCGCCTTGGCTGGGGAGCCCTAGAGGGGGTGGCCATCTCCTTTGGGTTTAACTCAGCTTCTTACTGCGCACCTGCCGAGTGAGTGATGGAGAGAAAGGCGACGCTAAAGAGAAATTAAGGCCAGCTTCTCCGGCTGAAATGAACGAAAGTGCTGCTAGGCTCTCCGCTGGCTAGGCCCTTGGGGCACCCGGGAGCCTAGGAGAGGAGGGATGTGGCTCCAGGAGATGACAGCCAGCAGCACGGATAAGAACTGGGTACACGCTGTGGCCCGAGCCCTGGGTACTTCCCCCACAACCCAGCCACCTATTTCAGGAGTGACTGTCCCTCTGACGTCACGGAGCCTTTCGGTTCATTCCCTGGCGCGGTGACTTTATTTTCATAACAGCCAGAAGTGCCGGGGAACTGGATTAGGCGTGTCCTGTCTCCCCCCAACCTCCCCGCCCCCGCCTCCTGTCCCTCGGTTCACCCTCACCCTCCTTCCAGCGTTTATAACAGCTCTGCTCACCCAGGGCGGGATTCCTGTCCCGGGACTTGGCCAGCACCGAGGGGCCGCGGGAAGCAGCGCCAAATTCACTGTCAAGTTCACCAGCCGCTGCGACAAGGTAAGGGGGGCGCGCAGCGGAGCGCAGGGCTCCAGGTTTAGGTCCTGATGCCAGAATGGGGCGTCGGGATGGAAGAGGCCAGAAAGCTTGGGATGGAGCACCGCTCCAGGAGAAAAAAGATAACCTCAAGGAAAGGAATTTCTCTAGTTTCACTAAACTCGGAATCTGTTTTCTGCGCTTCCCAGACTGAGATGAATGTGAAGAGGGAAAAGATCCTGGGGTGGGTGCTTTCCAGGCACTCTCTGTGCATTCCCAGAGGTGGAATCCTGGCCTGGCAGGAGGCAAGCACTTTGAGAGGAGAAGGGAGAAAGGCCTTAGAGGAAGGGTAGACACTGAGGGTGGAGAGGCACCAGGAAAAGTAGGGGTAGAGGCGGAGGAAGGCGAGACCGGCTGCTTTCTCCCACTCTGAACAGTTTCTCTTGATTTTGTCTTTCACCACTTGCCTGAGCTTCAGAATTTTGGGAAAGATCTGAAAGTCACCCCTTTTCTCTATAAGTGTAGGAGTGACCCCACAGCGTTCCCTCCTCTGAGAAGGAGGCAACTGCCACCATCTCCTTCTTCCTGCTCTCCCCCTACCAGCCCCTCTATTCTGCTGAGATTGTAGTAGAAAGTACAGGATTAAACTGCCTTCCACCAACAACTAGGTAGCACCCAGGAGTGGCCTAAATATGGTTCAAGATGGTCCCTCACCTTATTTATTTATTGTTTATTTTTGAGACAGAGTCTCAGTTTGTAACCCTGGTTGGTCTGGGACTCACTATATAGACCAGGCTGGTCTCAAACTCAGAGATCCACCTGCCTCTGCCTCCTGAGTGCTGGGATTAGTAGTGTACCACCACGCCTGGCATTCACTTTTAATTTCAATTTTATTGTTATTATTGTGTTTTTTAGACAGGGTCTCATGTAACCCAGGCTGGTCTAGAACTCACCATGTAGCTGAGGCTGGCCTTGAATGAACTCTTTTTTTCTTTTGATTTTTTGAGACAAGGTCTCTGTGCAGCCACAGCTAGCCTGGAACTCACTGTGTTGATCAGGCTGACCTCTATGTCACAGAGATTCACCTGCCTCTGCCTCTTGAGTACTGGGATTAAAGCCGAGCACCACCACTTGGCCTTGAACTCTTGATCCTCCTGCTTGCTTCTTTTGTTTATTTGTTTCTTTGCTTATTTTAAGGAAGGGTTTATTTATTAGGATTGATAGTTTGAGGAGCTCATTCTATCATGGGGGTGGGAGAGGCATGGTGTCAGGAGCAGGCGGCTGGATGGTCCAATCAACAAGAAGTCAAGAAGGTTTGTAACCCAGGCTTCCTTTGAATGCTCAGGCTGGTGGTGATCCTTCTGCCTCAGCTTCCAGAATGCTGGGGCACAAGTAGGGACACGTATAAGTCCCTACTCCTCGTCAAAGCGATCCCTTAAACGTGCAGGGGAAGGCTCCCACATGGTGGAAGAGGAATTGGAAGGATGTTCCTAACATTCCTGGATTTCTCCTCAGAGGCTTTGTTGAAACCTGTGTGTGGAAGGGGTCTTCCCAGTCAGTCACTGCTATGGGCTCATTCCTGAAGAATTTTTTAGCCACTTCAGATACAATGGCCTGGGGACTTGGCGGGGAGGGGTTGATGAGGCCAGCACCCCACCCACAAGGGTTTGTGGGCTGGCCACTACTGGGAGATGGAAGGAAGGGGGAGGGAGAGAAGGGTGAGGAGCTGCTGCATAGGGGGCTCAGCAAACCTGGAGAGTCTGGCCCTCAGGAGGGAAGGAAATGCTCTAAGCAGTGTGGATGGTTTCCTAAGAAGATATCCCAACCTGGCCTCAGGCAACTGGTTATCTCCTGGGCGCTGCAGAAAATCTGTCAGCAAGCAACCACCTGGGCCTTAGGTCTTCCTGTCAAAGGGTCTTGGGGAGGCCTCACACTCCTTTCATGGAGATTCCAACCCTCTGACTACACAGTCCCCCCTTTGGGAAGCCTGCTGAGAACTTTTTCTATTTCATTTCATTCCATTCTTTAGAGGTAATTGAAGATAACAGAGTGTGAAGAAGAATGTGGATTGTGGGTTCTATTCTTTTTCTGGGTCCACTGCTATTTAGAGATCTGCAGATAGAGCTGAGGAAATGGTGGGACAATGGTAGGAATAAACTGAATAGACTTTTCACATGAGGGAATCTGACTTTCAGAGCAACTCCCTGAGTTTTTTGTTTCTTTTCTTCTCCTTTGTTTGCTGGTGTAGAGGTCAGAGGACAACCCAAAGGAGTTGGTTCACTGCTTCCATCATGTGGATCCCAGAGACTGAGTTCAGGTTCTTGGGGTGGCAGATGCTTTTACCCACTGAGCCATCTTACTGGCCCCTGCTCTTGTTTTAAGAAAGAGTGGTTGGCCTAAAACTCATTATGTAGACCAGGCTGGCCTTGAACTTCAAGAGATGTGCCTGCTTCTGTGTCCTGAGTGCTGGGATTACAAGCCCAGCGGCTCTGTGTATTTGTACTTTTATTTCTAATTTTTTAATGACAAAATATATGACTTTCCTTCCTTCCTTCTTTCCTTCCTTCTTCCTTCTATCCCTCCCTTCCTTTCTTTTTGAGACAAAGTCTTACCAGATGTGCCCGATGGCTTCAAACTCCTGTGCTCAAATGTTTCTCCACTTTCACCCCCTCCAGTGGCTGTGCACAGGTATGCATAGCCACATCAGGTCTGTGCGTTCATTTTAGAATTTCAGATTCTTCTTTGTCTTATAAACTATAGTCATTTTCTCATAAACATTCATGACCACCTAGGTGTGATTGAATAGGGCTGGGGTGGCAAACTATGGTCTGTGGGCCACACATGACCCATAGTTTTATTTTTTCCTTCTAGTAAAGTTTCATGAGAACACATCAATGCTCTTTTTTTTTTTTAATTGTCTGTGGCCACTTTCATGCACAAACTCATGATTTCCAAGCCTGAACTACTTACTGCCTTTACAGAAAAGTTCTTGCCAATCACTGACTCAGAGGTTCTGAATTATTTGATTAATGATGGGGAGATAAAAGCTATGATTTAAAAAATTCTATAGGGGTTAAGGAGATGGCTCAGTGGGTAAGAGCACTTGCTGGGTAAGCAAGAGGATCAGAGTTCAAATCCCCAGCACCCATTTAAAAGCTGGTCATGGCTGTGCATGCCTGTAACCCCAGCATTGCAGGGCAGAGACAGGCCGGAGTTTATTAGCCAGCCAGTCTCCCCAAATGGTGAGATTCAGGTTCAGTGAGTTCAGGTTCAGTGAGACATCCTGTCTCAAGGGAATAAGACAGAGCGTTATGGACTTACTGGATCTAACAGGAATCTTTTCCCTTATGTACTGAAGTAGTGCCTTCACATGAAGGGGTCACTGAGATGCTGCCAGGAGACTTTATTTTTCTGTTTTCTGAAAGTTTTATTTCTCAGAATTCACCTGGAAAATTTAGAAGCGTCACTCAAAAATCTCAAGTTAAAAAAAATTAAAGGACTGGGGGTAATATTCTTGTTGCTGTCCAGCCTGTTGCACCTTGTAGAGTACTCAATACATCTATTTTCTTCCTAAAAAAAGAATATTGAGGATGTAGTTCAGTGTGTAGAGTGTTTACCCAGCATTCATGAAGCCCTTGGTTCAATCCCCAGCACTGCAGAAAGAGTGGCTGTAATCCTAACATTTGGAAGGTTGAGGCAGGAAGTAAGCCTTAGCTGCATAGTGAGTTTATTTTGTTTTCTTTTGGGGGGGTACAGGGTCTCCCTGTAGTCCCAGCTAGCTTGGAACTGGCGATATAGATCAGGCTTGCTACTATCTCACAGAGATCTACCTGTCTCTGCCTCCCAAGTGCTGGGATTAAAGGCATGGGCTACCAAGTCCTGCCCTGCATAGTGACTTTGAGGCCAGCCTGTGCTATGTGAGACCCTACCTCAAAAAAGAAAAAAATTAAGCCAGGAGTGGTGGCACATGCCTTTAATTCCAGCACTCAGGAGGTGGAGGCAGGCGAATCTCTGTGAGATCAAGGCCAGCCTGATCTATGTAGTGAGTTCTAGGCCTACTGGGGCTATAGGGAGACTTTGTCTCAAAAAGACCAAAGGGGAAAAAAGTCCAGAGGCAGGAGGATCACCACAAACTCAAGGCCAGCCTGGTCTACATAAGCTAGGTCAGGCTACATGAAATTTGTTTCAGGAAAAAAGTTTTAGTTGGGCGGTTTTTATTATTATTATTATTATTAATTACAGTGTCTTATAGTCTAGAATGCCCTGGAATTCCATAGCCCAGGCTGGTGGAACTCAAGACAGTCCTTCTTCCTCAGTCTCAAAAGTGGCAGGATTATAGGCATGAACCACCACACCCAGCAGTTTCCAGTATTTTAGTTCACGTTCTTGTTAATCAGAAGTCTATGTGCTTTGCTTAGAATAAGAGGAAGATGGTTCTATTCAGAGGCGCTGTGGAAAGTACAGAGATGGGCTTGAACTTTGTCATCACATGTGTTCTGATCTGCTACATGTTATGATGATTTATTTTCTTCCTGTAACTACCTAGAAACTCAGTTCAGTGATGCTAGTCAGGTATTATTCACAGGATGCTGCCACGATGTGTCATTTTTATGTGATGGGAACTGGGATGGCTACCCAGCCCAGGGAATCCTAGAGAGATACTTTCCATTTATACCTAATCCTTTTTCAAGGGCAGAGAGATTTCTGAGGGCCTCCTCCCTTAGAAGAGCTCAGCCTGGGTAAATGCGTGTGGCTTAGCCAGCACCTGGGCATACTCACCTTTAAAAATCCTTACTCCCGTAGCTGGGTGTGGAGCTCTTACTTATGATCCCAACACTTGAGAGGTGGAGGCAGGAGGATTGGAATAGAGGCCAGCTTGGGCTACATGCAAATGAGACCTTGTTTTTTTTTTTAACTTCATCCTTATTACTTACATTTGCAAATAAATAACTTGCCTTGAGTAAATATTTAGTAGTCAGTTTTAGTCTAAAATATTTGTTCTGGAACTGCTGAGTGGAACATAG